CACACACACACACACACACACACTCACTCACACACACACTCTCACACACACACACACTCACACACACACACACACACAAACAGTGTAGAAAGAACAACATAATCACACACACGTTTGAATGCAGAAAAAATAGATAGGATGTGTGTGTGTGTATTCTTGTCTGTTTTCTTTAGTTGCCCGTGACATTCTGCTGTCACATACACTTCCTCGGTCAGAGGTCACGTCTGTCTGAATTAGCGCTTCTATTTACAGTCTGTTGAAAAACTCTGTCAGTAACTTTTGGGTTTTGGCCATGATAATACCTATATGTATTTTGTAAGATGTTTTAATGTTTTTGAAAGAGTCTCTTCTGCTCACCAAGGCTGCATTTATTTGATCAAATAATACTGTAAAAATTGTGAAATATTTTTATGATTTAAACTAGCTGTTTTCTGTATTTTCAGCATCATTACTCCAGTCTTCAGTGTCACATGATCTTCAGAAATCATTCTAATATGCTGATTTGCTGCTTAAGAAACATTTCTGATTATTATCAATGTCGAAAACAGTTGTGCTGCACAATATTTTTGTGGAAACTGTGATACATTTGATTTTTCAGGATTCGCAGATGAATAGAAAGTTCAAAAGAGCAGCATTTATTTCAAATAGAAATCTTTAGTATAATTATAAATGCCTTTACTGTCACTTTTGATAAATTTAAAGCGTCCTTGATGAATAACAGTGTTACTTCTTTTTCTCTGGCTGTGTTTTAATGTCATCTGCTCAGTCTCTAGTTGCTCAGGTGTGAATTCCGCGTCTGGATCCGTTCGCGCTCTCGTTGTTCCCAACCTCAACATTCCGGGCCAAATTCCAACACTTCCACAAAAACACAACAATAGCGCTTCCTCTGATCCCAGGCCTGTAGAGCGGGAATGAATCCAGCCTATCAGAGCCCTGGAGAAACCGGCTCCAGATGATATTTCCTAGAGGATTGTTGTCCGATTTAAAGTGACTAATTACATTTCTGTTAATGGAGAAGTACGTTTAATAGACTTCCGGAAGAATAAAACACAAAACATTGATCTGTTTTAATAAGCGGCCTGATATATCAACAACTGGCTCGACCAATGGTGTGAGTTTGGGGGCGGGACTATCTGCTTGACTGACCAATAGCAGACTGTCACTACCTCATAATACATCTTCCCAGCAGCAGATAAATTAAAGTTAATCTCTCTATTAACAGTGATGTTCACTCTTTTAGGTGCTACAGAACCCCTACTTAAAATTTAAAAGGCATCTATATAGTTTCTTGTGTAAAGACCTAATTTATACTGTGAAACCTTAATATTATAAACGTCAAAATATTTAGTTTATTTAGAGTTATAGATTTATTTTTTCTGTGCATTATTATAGTACTAGTATAGTAACAATAAATAATACCTTGTTTTTAGATGTATTGTTTATTTATTTACGTATTTATATTATTGTTTTACATTTGTTATTTACTTATTTTAATATTTATAATATTTTACATGTATTTATTTTATGAAGTGTTAAATTTTTTATGTTTTACTAATTTATTTAGCTTATTTTAATCTTTTTATTTAAATCTATTATTTATTTATTCATATTTTTAGTCTTATTTTCATTTATTTCTTTTTTACATTTTTATATATTAACGTGCATTTATTTATGTTTAAATCTATTTTTGTTAATTTATATTCTGCATTAATTTAGTATTTTAAATTAATTTGTTTACTTATTTTAATAATTGTTTATTTAAAAATATTGTGCAGCACAACCGTTTTCAACATTGATAATAATCTCTCTGCAGGCGTGCTGAAGGACTTTCTCCGTGAGCTTCCTCACCCTCTCATCACCAAGCCACTATACGAGTGTGTTCTGGACTCGATGGCCAAGAGGCCGCTGCAGATGGGAAGCGGCGGCTGCGAGAACGACCCGGCTGACTCGGATCACTCCGTCAGTTTGCTGGAGATCCTGCCGGAGGTTGAGAAGGTACGGTGAGGCTCTGGAGGGAAACCGTCTCGTCCATTGTCCTGTTTCTGATCTACTCACACGCGTGTGTTTGTGCTCAGGCGACCCTGCGGAAGCTTCTGGATCACCTGAAGCGCGTGGCGTCCCATCACGAGGTGAATAAAATGACCTGTCAGAACCTGGCAGTGTGTTTCGGGCCGGTTCTGCTCAGCCAGAGACAGGAGGCGTCCTGCCACGGGAACCGGGTCTTCATCGACTCCGAGGAGCTTGCCAGCGCTCTGCACTTCAAGAAACACATCGAGGTCCTTCATTACCTGCTCCAGCTCTGGCCAGGTGACACATGCACCATTTCACTAGAGTTCATCACCCTCCTATGGATTTATTATTTATTTAGCCATTTAGCAGATGCTTTTATCCAAAACGACTTACAAATGAGGACAATAGAAGCAATCAGATCCAACAGAAGAGCAATGATATGCAAGTGATATGACAAGTCTCAGTTAGCCTACATGTAGCAAGTTATATATATACATATACATACATATACATACATACATACTGTATATATATATGTATTCTCGCCATGAAAATCGCCACAGAAGCTGGAATGGCGTTAAACACAAACAAACAAACATCACACACATTCGTTTCAAAGCAGTGTCTCTTTCTCCTGTGAAACGCAAAAGGAGATGTAAGGCATAAAGTTGTTGGGAGAGTTTCATGGTGCTTCTTCCCAAATTTGTAATGATAATCGTTAATAAATTGATTGTGAAAATAAAGAGAGGCTTGAAGGCTACCCTGTATTTTTCTGCAAAAATATTAGTTATAAGTTATAGCCATGGATATAATAGTATTGTAATTTTACTGTTGTTCTGTAAAATAATAATAATAATAATGATTGTAATAATTGTTTTATATAGAATATTTTTTATTTTACAGTACAATAGAATTATTGTTTTTTGTTTAAATTGGATAAACAATTATTTGTGTGTGTGTGTATATATATAATTACAAAACTAAATAATTATTTATAATAATATTAATGACAACAACAGTAATAATAATAATAAATATAATTATAATAATAATAATTATTATTATTATTATTGTGGTTATAGTAAATACTATTTTTTACAGTACAATAACATTGTAAAATAGTAGTGTTTAATTTGAATAATGTAGAAAAATTATTATTATTATTATAGTGACTTAATTTTAATCACCAAGCCAATAAAATAAAATAATTATGCTGACAATAATAATAATACTTTAGTATTGTTATTGTTGTTATTTTAGTACTATATAATTTAATACTAAATAATGCTTTTACAATAAAATAGCATTATTGCTATAATAATATATTCTTTATAAATTTGTTTAATTTAGATAATTTAATAAAATAAAATTATTTATAATAATAATAATTATTATTATTATTAAAAACAGTGTGGATAACATAAAAATTACTATTAAATTTCTTTCATCACCATTCAGTCCTAAGTAGTGGTATTAGTATTAGTATTGTTATTATTATTGTAGTTTTAGTACTATATAATTTAATACTATAATATTTTTTACAGCAAAATAGTATTATTGCTGTAATAATATATGATTTATTCATTTGTTTAATTTGGATAATTTAATAAAGTACAATTATTTATCATACGTATTATTATTATTATTACCATTATCATTGAAAACAGTGTGGATAATTGCTATTACATTCCTTTAATCATCATTTAGATTTAAGATTTAAATGAAATAATACACAGGTATTTGCAGGTAGTTTTTGCAAGAGTTTGGACCCTGTGTGGTACATTTCTCCAAAACACACAAAAGAAAGAAAGTCATACGGCTTTAAAACAACACAAGTGTGTCATATTTAGGTGAGCTGTTCCTTTAAGTCTCGGGGTCGTCTCATAAAGCTCGTGTTGGGCTTTAATCTCTCACTCTTGCTGCCCATGCTGACGCGTCTCGCCACAGGCCGTGGTTTCAGACAGATTTCTGCGCCGCTGACTTCCTCCAGCACGCAGGAACAGTACAGTAAACCTCGGTCTGTAATTACGTGCATTCCTGTCTTAACCTTCAACTCCGGCCGACCCGCCTTACCCTCAGAACAATCGACCCGTTTAGAGGGGCCTCTCGCTGCAAAAGAGCCTCCGTCAGACGTGGAGAAACTCCCATGAGGCCAGCTGCCCTCGTCCTGCTCTGGGACGGCTGTCTTTTTGTCTGCTTGTGTGTCAAGCTGTGTGTGTCACATGATATATTGATGCATATTCTATAGTGTCTGTGTGTTTGTTGTTTTCTTGAATTATGTGCGCATATAAAGATTTCTGCAGGGTATTTTTTTTGTCAGAGTTGCATTAACTCAAACCATCAATACCATGTTTTTTAGGCAATGTACCATGATAATAAGAAAAATTCTGGGGGAAAATTTTTTTTTTTTGTGTCGTTTTCCAGTAAAATATCTGGTAACACTTTACAATAAGGTTCATTAGTTAACATTAGTTAACTACTTTAGTTAACATTAACTAAGAATGAACAATACTTCTACAGCATTTATTAATCTTAGTTAATGTTAATTTCATCATTTACTAATGCATTATTAAAATCAAAAGTTGTGCTTGTTAACATTAGTTAATGCACTGTGAATTACCATGAACTAACAATGAATGACTGTATTTTCATTAACTAACATTAACAAAGATTAATACATTTTGTAATAAATATATTGTTCGTTGTTCGTTCATGTTAGTTAATACATTAACTAACATTAACTAATGGAACCTTCTTGTAAAGTGTTACCAAATATCTGTACATCAAGTCTAAACTTTAAGAGAATATGTCTTTAATGTATTTAAGTGTATTTTAATCTGTTTTATTCATTTATTTAAATATTTTTGTTTTCCAGTAAAAATATCTGAATATCAAGTCTAAACTTTAAGAAAATATTCAATAGAATATAACTTCAATTTATCTTAAATTTAAGGTTTACTCATTTTATTATTTTAATTTGTTTAAATTACAGTTCCATTTATTTAATTAAATGTAATTTTTATTTATTTATTTATATATATTTTTTGTTAATATATATGTTTTGGTTTTCAGTAAAAACCTCTGAACATCAAGTCTAAATTTTAAATTTAAGAGAATATGTCAGAGAATATATCTTAAATTAAATATATCTTAAATTATATCTTAAATTTAAGCTGAAGTTTTACTTGTTTTTTATTTTTAAAAATTCCATTTATTTATTTAAATCAGTTTAATTATCCAAAACGCTGTTTCTAAAGCAGTTCTTTCTATTTTAAACAGAACTTAGCATTGATTAAATACTGCAAATAATGTCAGGTGATTAACTAAGCTAAGTTAACTAAGTTAAAACCAGCTTTACAGGTTATGTGTACATAGAAATTCTAGCCTTAAGCCTGCTTTAACATTCTTTAATGGGATAGTTCACCCAAAAATGAAAATGTGATGTTTATCTGCTTACCCCCAGGGCATCCAAGATGTAGGTGACTTTGTTTCTTCAGTAGAACACATATGATGATTTTTAACTTTAACCGTTGCAGTCTGTCAGTCGTATAATGAATGGCAATGGTAACAAAATCTATGAAGGTAAAAAAACATGCACAGACTTTGAGCGCGTGCAGGCATCCGGTGCGTGAGGTGTGTACGCGCTCTGGCGTAGTTTACGCAAGCGCCTGAAGTGATCTCGCGCGCATACGTCACTCATTGTTTACACAGTGCACAGTCATTGTAGGTACGACGGCTAATCAAAATGGTACTTACTTGCCATTCCATTACCGGATTGTTAAAACCGACTTAAAACTAAAAGACTACGTTCTCTCGCGCAAACTCATTCAGGAGTGGTGACTTTCCACGTTGTTACCATTGCCATGCATTATACAACTGATAGACTGCAACGGTTTGTGTTAAAAATCATCATGTGTTCTACTGAAGAAACAAAGTCACCTACATCTTGGATGCCCTGGGGGTAAGCAGATAAACATAAAATTTTCATTTTTGGGTTAACTATCCCTTTAAGTACTCTTATTGTAAAAATAACATAATGCGTTAAGTCTAAGAGCTACAAATCTAATTCTATAGTACTTAGTTGTATTTTGTATATTTATTTGTGCTTGTTTGTTTATTTTACTTGTCCCGTCACATGTAGGCCACTGCTAAAATCCTCAGAAGGTTTAGAGGGCAGATCGTGACAGGTAAACTAGATTAAATGGGTGTGCTTTGTGTGTCCTCCGCTAGCCCTTCATGACACTACCTCAATATCTTGCTAGCACGCAGATTTGTTCAGATAGAAGCTAAAAATACTGATAGCTTGCCACCGTTCTGCTGCTTTCCTGTCCTTCACCAGATCTACCAGGTTTACGACTTTTGTGGCAAGTTTGGAGGGTTTGTAGGGCCAAGTTTGGCCAAGTTCAACAGAGTATTTGAGGTTTAGCCAATTTGGGTTGGTGTCAGTAGTTAGGATCTTTGAGTTTGTTTGGGGTTTTGAGGCATGTATCTCATTTGTTCTGCATGCTTTGAGTTTTTCATAATAAAACCACATATAGTATTGCCAGTTTTGGGGAGTAACTAAAATTATAAAATATTTTATATCATATTATATGTATACAAAAATATTACCTCCTGTACTAGCTTCACTGTAGAAAGATGCTTTTTGTTAGTAGCTTACCATTTTCAAATTTGAGTTGCTTTTATCTTGGCCAGTTTCAAAGTACTTTCCCCAACATTGGTTATTCTATATATACTCTCATTATCTGAAACGTGTTGTTAATTTATAATCAAATGATTAAACCCATTGTTTGTTGTCTTTTTTCGCAGTTGTGGATGCTCAGGGTAAATCTTCCTCTCCGGTTCCTGCCTCGGTGGAGTCGCTTCCAGCAGTGACGGCTGCCGTAAGGAGGAGGAAAGAGCGTCCACAGGTGCTAAATCTAACCGAGGCGGACATGGCAGGCGTTTTGCGGCCCAGAGCTGGCCGTCTGGACAGTCCCAGTAACCGCTATGCCGGGGACTGGAGCAGATGCCGGGAAACGTACCTCCAACCGTGCTGCCCGGAGGAGGCAGACTATGACGACGTTCCCAGCGAAGAACCTCCGAACGCAGAACAGGAGGACTTATTGAAGGGTACTGGAGATGTAGTCTCCGAACAAGAGTTGTCTGAGTTGGACCAGGCAGTGGAGAGGGTTGAGGAAATGCAGATAGAGGAGGAAGAGGAAGTGAGTGAGGAAGAGAATACAGTAGTTTTGGACAAGCTACAAGTGGAGGAACCTCTTCCCACAAGCCCCTACGATCAGATCCTCCCAGAGCACCGACCCAAAGAGCACACCTACCAGGCCTACATGAAGATCCAGGAGATCAGCCCAGTCCTAAGCAACAGGGTCAACCTGCGGGACCTGCAGGAGAGCATCGACACTCTAATCGGCAACCTGGAGAGGGAGCTCAACAAGAATAAGCTCAACATAGGGTACTGACTCTTTACAAGGACAGACGAAATATGGTGGTGATTCCCTAGAGACATCAGCGCCATGGAACGTTCTTGCTCCCATGCACACTTGGGATGCATGTACAAGAAGACATTCCTCACTTCTGATTTGTGTTTTTGTTTGTCTCCTGGTCTCCATGTTGTTGATCTCGTCATTGTTTTTCTTCTTATGAGAAGAACTCATTGAACCCTGAAGGGTGCACCAGGTGCCTTCATTGTGTTAAGGTGGTGCTTACGACAGCGAGAGCTTTTTACTTTCTACGGAGGTACAAAACATTACGATGAAAACCAATGCACTTATGGGGCCTGCTGTTAAATGCACGGCCAGTTCAGGTACAGGTGTGAAGCCTTATGGTGGGAGAACTAGGTTCTACAGATACATCCCTAAACCAGGGGTACTCAGTCCTTCTCATGGAGATATTGAATTCCCTGCCCTAACCCCAACCCTAAGACCCCAAACCCTACATCAGGGATCTCGAACACAAATTACCTATTGTGGAGGTGGTGTTAAATGGTTGTTTGAGATCCCTGCACCCTACTCTCTAAACTCTGAATGTTATATCCTAACCTTAACCCTATCTTGACCCTTACACCCTAAATAAGGGGTGTCCAGTCCTGCTCCTGGAAATTCAGCTTCATCTCCAGCTCTAATTAAACACAATCAAACTAATCAAGGTCTTGGGGTTCATTTAAAGAGGAGGTAGATCACAAGGAATGGAATTGAGCACCTGACCCTGAACACTACATTAGGGGTCTTGAATGCAAATTACCTAGTGAGGTGGTCTTGGTAGTTTAGGATCCCTGCACCCTACTCCCTAAACTTTGAATATTATATCTTAACCCTATCCTAAACCTTACAGCCTAACCAGGGGTGTTTGTTCCTGCTCCTGGAGATCCAGCTTCCTGTAGTCTTCAGTTCCAACCCTTTAAACACACTTGAACCAGCTAAACAAATTACCTAGTGAGGTGATGTTAGCCGGTAGTTTAAAATTCTTGCAAAGTGCTCCCTAAACTCTGAATGTTATAGCCTAAACCTAACCTAAACTTTACACGCTTACCAGGGGTTCATTCCTGATCCTGCAGATCCAGCTTCCTGTAATGTCCAAACACACTTAAACTAGCTAATTAAGGTCTTGGAATTCACTTAAAGAGGAGGGTGAATCACCAAGAGTGGAACTGAGCACCCCAACCAAACAACCCTAAAATCTACATCGTAATCTGGTAGTTTGAGATCCCTGCACCCTTCTCCCTATATCTTAACCCTATCCTAAACCTCACACCCTAACCAGGGGTGTTTGTTCCTGCTCCTGGAGATCCAGCTTACTATAGTCTTCAGTTCCCTCCAGTCACACTTGAACCAGCTAATTAAAGTCTTGAGCTTCACTTAAAGAGGAGGAGGGTAGATCACCAGGAGTAGGATTAAGTACCCTAACCCCAAACCTATGACCCTGAACCCTACATCAGCAGTTTCGAACGCAAATGACCTAGTCAGGTGGTGTTAGCCAGTAGTTTGAGATCCCTGCACCCTACTCCCTAAACTTTGAATCTTATAGCGTAACTCTATCCTAAACCTTAACCCTTACCGGAGGTTTGTTCCTGCTCCTGGAGATCTAGCTTCCTGTAGCCTCCAAACACACTTGAACCAGCTAATCAAGGTCTTGGGGTTCACTTAAAGAAGAGGGTGGATCACCAGAAGCAGAATTGAACACCCCAACCCAACAACCCTAAAATCTACATCATTATCCGGTAGTTTGAGATCCCTGCACCCTTCTCCCTAAACTCTGAATGTTATAGCCTAACCCTATCCTAAACCTTACACCCTTACCAGGGGGTTCGTTCCTACTCCTGGAGATCCAGCTTCCTGTTACCTCCAAGCACACTCCACACAAACTAATTAAGGTCTTGAGCTTCAGTTAAAGAGGAGGGAAGGTAGATCACCAGGAGCAGGATTAAGTACCCTAACCCCAACCCTACAACCCTGAACCCTACATCAGGGGTCTCGAATGCAAATTACCTAGTGAAGTGGTGTCAGCCAATAGTTTGAGGTCCTTGTTCCCTGCTCCCTAAACTTTGAATGTTGTATCCTAACCCTAACCCTATCTTAACCTTACACCCTAAACAAGGGATGTCCAGTCCTGTTCCTGGAAGGCCACCTTCAGCTCCAGCTCTAATCGTAGTCTTTAACTACTATCTTTTAACATTCAGGCAAATGTGTTGACGATAACCTTTGCATGAAGGTGGCTCTCCAAGAGCAGTATCGGACACCCAACACCCTTTCCATTCAGAGAGCCACTAAACGCTGCTGGTCTAGTTGAGGTTGTGGTCGTATGAGATTAAAACAGCGTCTGTTTGAGTTTTTTTTTCTTGTAAAAATACTTCAAACGTCCCCCTAAACAAGCTATGGACAGCTGAACATGAATATGATTGTAGTAAGTAGTAAAATAAATATTTAAAAATAGTTAGAACTTTAATGTAAGTTTTTGAGAATACATTTTAAAAAGTAACTTAAAATTGCTGACGTTTATTTTGCTTTTGATGGGCGCTCCCTAAAAACATACTGAATAGATATAATTTCACTTAAAATTTAAAAAAATGGTAACATGATGACACCATGACAACACTCAGCAGTCCAGGGATACAAACTCATCAGTATTTGACAGACACATGTATGTTTGTATGAATATAGTCAGAAAACGTATTTTCGATGATGTACACTTCAGTTTGTGCATATTTAAATGTTCATCAGCTACCTTGTAGTATTTGGCCTGTAGATCAGCCTTAAATAAATATATATATATATTTTGTTGGATCTATGTAATGATATAACCCACAGTCAGAACTGCGAGGGATTCTGGGTATTTTGTGGTCACGAAAGTGCAGGAAATTTGAGCATTGCATGGTCAAAAGCTTTACGGTCAAAAATTAAGTGTTTCTCAGTGTCTCCTACAGCGGGATGTATTTATGCGTGTAGATAGAGATTATTTTAATTATAGTGAAATTCTGTTTTTCCTCCATTTGGCAGCTGCTCACGTTTATGGCTTGGTTGTAAATTTGCAGGTCTTGTGAAAGAAAGACTGAATCTTTACACGAGCGGTTTGTTTTCTGATTGTGCTTCTCGCCTGACAATGCTACAGTCTTTGATAGAAAATCTCATTTTAAAATATCTAAATAAAGGACTTGTTACACAGCAAATAGAACGTAGAGGCCAATATAATAATATGGGTTAAAGGAGATAAACCAATTAAAACCAATCGTCTGGAGGTTTGTTTTTTCTCAGTTGGGACGGTCACACTAGATTTTAAGTATGCAAAAGTATTATCTTTTTTTTGCATTCTTTTTTGCTATATATAATGTATATATATATATATATATATATATATATATATATATATATATATATATATATAGGCAACAGGATATGACGTCATGCATACCATACAGACTTTTCATTTGAATGCATTATGAATAATAATAATAAATTTAGGATATTAACTATTCCAGTTTGTAGATTTCAGTATGCATGCTTTTAAATGTGTATTGATGTGAATCTAGTGTGACCGCACCTTTGGAGTGTTTGACCTGGTTTCTTAAAGTCTGATTTGAGATCAGATTCCTGTCGTACAGCGACTGATCTACGGTCAGCAAGAAGGAAACTTGTGAGCTGCTTTGATAAACATTCCCCTGTTTTTCTCCTTTGTCTCTGCTGCGGTTTTTGTAAAAGTTTGGTTGTGCTTAAATTAACGTACGACTAAAGCAGATATTGTAAAGTATATGATCACATTAAAGTTTATGTTTCATGCAGCCTTGACGACTCGACTGTTCTTCTTGAAATGTCTGGATATATTTAGCTGCTTATTTCTGCAGATGGTCATGTGAATCGAAGGTCAGCGTCGGCTACAATGAGTCACGCTTGTCCACCACAGATTCACGTTTTGTTTCCAAACGTTCCTGTAATTTGTCACTGGAACATGAGCTGGCGAGTTCATGTAAAAAAATACTTGCAGAAGTATAGACTTTTTGTTTCCGTCACAGGATTAAAAAGTAAAACAGGTATTTGTGACATCTCACAATTGCGAGAAATAAACTCAGAATTCTGAGCGTTTATATTTTTTTCATTCTTTTTTCTCAAAATTTGTACATCTCACAATTCTGACTTTTTTCCAGAATTTTGATTCTGATCATCTCATGATCCTGATTATTTGTTTCCGCAACGTAAAAATAAAAAAATAAAAAGGTAATTGTGACTTTTCATCTCACAATTCGGACTTTTTCAGAATTGTAATTTTATATCTTGCAATTCTGACTTTATCACAATTCAAAATTTTCTTGCATTTCTGAGGAAAAAAGGCAGAAATGCTAAATATAAACTCAGAATTTTGACTTTTTCTCACAAGTTTGCATCTTGCAATTCGACTTTTTGACTTTTAGTTTTGTTTCCGTCACAGAATAAAAAATGTAATTGGGACTTTTTAACTCACATTTTTGACTTTTTTTCTCAGAACTGTAAGTTTATCTTGCAATTTTGACATGTCTCGCAGTTCTTACTTTTTCTTGCTTTTTTGAGGGGGAAAAAAGGCAGAACTGCAAGATATGAACTATATGTTTCCGCCACTGAATAAAAAATCGGGATGTATTTATGCGTGTAGATAGAGATTATTTTAATTATAGTGAAATTCTGTTTTTCCTCCATTTGGCAGCTGCTCACGTTTATGGCTTGGTTGTAAATTTGCAGGTCTTGTGAAAGAAAGACTGAATCTTTACACGAGCGGTTTGTTTTCTGATTGTGCTTCTCGCCTGACAATGCTACAGTCTTTGATAGAAAATCTCATTTTAAAATATCTAAATAAAGGACTTGTTACACAGCAAATAGAACGTAGAGGCCAATATAATAATATGGGTTAAAGGAGATAAACCAATTAAAACCAATCGTCTGGAGGTTTGTTTTTTCTCAGTTGGGACGGTCACACTAGATTTTAAGTATGCAAAAGTATTATCTTTTTTTTGCATTCTTTTTTGCTATATATACAGTATATATATATATATATATATATATAATAAACATTTTGGTTGACCTTTTATTTTGACATTGTTGACATTTCACAGCACACACTCACCTGAGAAGAACTGGGCCTTGAAGCCTTTTTTAGAGTTAATTGCGACTTTTAATCTTACTATTCAGCCTTTTTTATATTTTTCTTAGAATTGCAAATTTATATCTCACGATTATGATTTATCACGCAATTTAGTCTTTTCCCATTTAGGAAACAAAAAGTCAGAATTGCAAGAAAAAAAGTCCAATATTATATTCAGGAGTTTGTCTTGCATTTTTTTCCTCAGTAATGCAAGACATAAACTCCTGAATATAGTTTCGGACTTTTTTCTCGCAATTCTGACTTTTTGTTTCCTAAATTGGAAAAGACTAAATTGCGTGATAAATCATAATCGTGAGATATAAATTTGCAATTCTAAGAAAAATATAAAAAAGGCTGAATAGTAAGATTAAAAGTCGCAATTAACTTTATTTTTTATTCAGTGGCGGAAACATATAGTTCATATCGCAAATCTCACACAATTCTGACTTTTTGTTTCCGCAACGGAATAGAAAATCTCACACAATTCTGACTTTTTGTTTCCGCAACGGAATAGAAAATCTCACACAATTATTCTTTGTTTTTGCAACAGAGAAGAAAAACTCACACAATTCTGACTTTTTGTTTCCGCAACGGAATAGAAAATCCTCACAATTCTGACTTTTTGTTTCCGCAACGGAATAGAAAATCTCACAATTCTGATTTTTTGTTTCCGCAACAGAATAGAAAATCCTCACAATTCTGACTTTTTGTTTCCGCAACAGAATAGAAAATCTCGCAATTCTGACTTTTTGTTTCCGCAGCGGAATAGAAAATCTCACAATTCTGACTTTTTTCCTCAGAATTGTGAATCACAATTCCAACTTTATATCTTGCCATTTTTCTCAGAATGGGAGATATAAACTCAGAATTGTGAGAAAAAAGAATTGAGAGACTTTTTTTTTTAACCCTGTGGATGGAAACAGGCTTCCATCACTGAGACATTGTCAAGATCTTTTCTGAAACCCATGAGGAGACACATGTGAGATTACTGGCCTGTTGTCCCTCCATCCTCTACATCCTGCAGGTATACTGGGTAAATGATTTCTCCAGCAGCGCAGATGTGCGTCTTCAGCGACACCTGCTCTCTGTGATAAACATCCAGAGCATCTGTCAGCGTTTGGCTGCAGTTCAGACGTGTGATTGGTCCAGTCACGTCCCAAAGACTCTTTGATGTCAAGCAGAGTCTTCTGATTGGCTGCCTGGAAGAGATGACCTTTGATTGGCCGGCGCTTCATAGAGGTGATCGTGCAGTTGCTGTCATTGTACGTTTAGCATTTATACCTAAACATCTGCAGACTTCTGCAGCTCACGCTCATAAATGGCTGTAAAATTACACGTCTATCAAATGGAGCTTAAAGGAGATAAAAGCCTTATCATTGCTGAAACGCGGCCAGATTTAGTCAAAACTGCCTTTGTTTGCCCAACAGGAACAGATTAAAGAAAGACAACGCTGAGATAGACGTGTAATGCAGCTGGATAATGAGAGTTACAGAGGCAGAACAGAAGATGTGATTGTCTGGTTCATGAAGACGTGTGGCTTCATGCAACAGACACACAAAATGCAAGATTAACTTGAGTTTGTGAATTAGGGTTATTGCACACTAATCATCTTAAATATATGAAGACAATGCCAATATGTGCAGAATATGAAAAAAATATATATATATATATCCCATAAATCAATGCACTCAATTTCACCTTAATTTTCAGTGTGCGAATGAAATATAAATGACATCAGTTGTGATTTTCATGCAATATAATGCAACAGTAAAGTTGTACTGTACTACGTTTTGAGACATGGAAGCTTTTTTCTGCCACAGAATAAAAAGGTAATTGCAACTTTTTTTCTTACAACTTAGATATTTTTGTTGCAGTTCTGAGTTCATATCTCAACGTTATTGACTTTTTTTCTCAGAGTAACAAGATAGAAACTTAGAATTGCGAGAAAAAGTTTAGAATTGTGAGATAAACATGCAAAATTGTGAGATGTCAGAATTGTGAATTTATATCTCACTTATGGTGCTTATGACTTTTTCATCTCACAATTTGGGCACGTTTCTTGCAATTCTGAGTTTTCATCTCACAATTTTCAGAATTATAAAGATATAAGCTCAGTTGTGAACTCAGAATTCAAAGAAAAGTCAGAACTGTGAGAGAGCAATTCAGAATTCTGAGAAAAATTGTCAGAATTGTGAAATTTCTCACAATTATCAACTTTTTTTCTCAGAATTGCTAAAAATCTAAATTGTTGTATCTTGCAATTATGACTTTTTTCTCAGAATTGTAAGATGAAAACTTTGAAGAATTTATGTCTTGCTATTTTATGTTTATATCTCATAACTGACCCTTTTTTTACTCAGAACTGTGAGTTTATATCTTGCAATTCTGAATTTGAAGGAATTTCGGAATTAAATTTCTGTATAAATTATGTAAAATCAAATTATTGTATTTGATTCAATTGGATAATTTATGCAAGAACATAGTCGATTTACACAGAAATATGCTCTTCTCGTGTTTCATCAGTACTATGTTTTTAAACGGTAGACAATAAACAGCACTCAATTCAGTGGACACATGAAATTCACATTCATTAATTATTCTAGGGTTTGCTAAAAAACCTTTCTTTGCTCCATAGAAATGCATTTTATGAAGTAGACTTGAAAGTCTTCTATATGTCGACCAAACCTGCTTTGCGTGTGAATTCTTGTCCCGTTCGCTGCTTAAAAAGGAAGTTTAGTAGCCTATCTATTGAATCAATATGAGCCGGGCTGAACTTGATCAATATTGTACATTAGTGGCTGGATGTGTCCGTATGAAAGCAGATAAGCTGTCAGAGGTGTTTGATTACGAAGATGAACTGAGACCAGTAACCGGAGGAAGAATCAATCTTCAAGGTCAGAGCGCATAAGCTTACAAGAACAAAACACCCT